TATGAGCGTGGGATGGCAGAACCCCCCGGGGATGGGGCTTTCCCTCCACCCCATCCCATCCCCCCGACCCTAACCCCGCACCCCCCTTTCCCTAGGGTCCCTCTTTCCAGTACTTCCCCCCCTGCAGGGACTCCAGCCCAAGAGTGCCTTACCTCCATGAGGAGGGCCCTGACAACAGACTTCCCCACGCTGAACTGGTTGCCCACAGACCAGTAACAGTCTGGGATGGCGAGCTTCCAGACAGCAATGATGACCTGCTTCTCCAGGGGGATGGTGGACCACAGGTGGGTGTCCCATCGACGGAGGGCAAGTACAAGCCAGGCACAGAGCTCCATGAAGGTGGCCTTCCTCATCCTGAAGTTTTGGAGTCACTGCTGGTCATCCCACCACTCCATGACCAGCTGGTCTCACCAGTCGGAACTGGTATCCAGCCTCCAGAACCTTCTCTCCACTGTGGAGTGCGGTTGCAAGGGCCTTGTTCCTGCACATAGGGAGAGGGTCTCAATGATGAGCTCAGTGTCGAAATTGTGCAGGGCCATGAAGGCAGCCTGCACAAACTGCTGCAGAAACTGTGGCATGGCTGTGTGGAGCCATCGTGTGTCCAGAAGCAGCTCTGGCTCCATGGCAAGGAGTATGCTGTGGCGTCCAAAAGATGGGCAACCAGAGCAAGCACTGCTAAAGCTTTGCTGTCCCTCGGAGAGGTAGGCAAGCAAGCAGCAGAATTTGAGAAACAGCTGTTCAGGGGAGTCCCTTTAAGCACGCGTCTCAGCTAGCCTTAGGCAACAGCACCCGGAAGCAACTGTTGACCTAATGCCCAGCCTGAACTGGTTCCGGGAGGCCTTAAATGCGAGATATTATCCAATTAGTGTGGACGTTATCTTTCAAAATAGCAAAAGTGCAATGAAAAAAAATGATCTGCTGTGTGGACACTCTCTTTCGAAATAAGCTTTTCTGGAAGATTTCTTCCAGAAAAGCTTATTCTGAAAGAAGCTTGCAGGTACTACCATAATACAAATAATTGTTGGGGCTCTTTCACCTTAACAAATAAATTGTATTAAATTCCATTTTCTTGAACACTCATGGAAGGTAGATGGACAGAATATCAAAAGTGGGAAAAAATGTACAAGGTATTAATGTAACTAGAAGCAGGTGACATGACACCAGAGGAATATTATAGAGCCCCCGAAGTTGGCTAGCCAAACACTCACAGACTGCAGAGCAAAATCCTGAATCCCAGTGTGATATTGTAGGATCATTTCTGAATGTACTGACCCTGCACAAGGTAGTACTTCTGCTTACTATACCTATTGCACTATTTCTTTAGCATTGCTCAAGTATATCCTGGTCAGCAGTTCTGCATCTGATGATATGAGGAAGGGATAGCTCAGTGGTTTGAGCATTGGCCTGCTAAACCAAAGGTTGTGAGTTCAATCTTTGCAGAGGCCATTTGGGGCAAAAATTTGTCAGCGATGGTACTTGGTCCTGCTGTGAAGGCAGAGGACTGGACTTGATGACCTTTCAAGGTCACTTCCAGTTCTAGGAGATAAGCAATCTCCATTATATTATTATGAACATATTTCTAGGAAGACAGGACTAGAGTTGGAAGCCCTTTCTCACAGAGTGACGAGGAGTCCTGTGGCACCATATACACTAACATTTATTGGAGCATAAGCTTTTGTGGGTAAAAACCCACTTCATCAGATGCATCTGATGAAGTGGGTCTTTGCCCACGAAAGCTTATGCTCCAATAAATCTGTTAGTCTATAAGGTGCCACAGGACTCATCACTTTTGCAGATTCATACTAACACAGCTACCCCTCTGATACTTTCTCACACATGTAGTCTAACTGGCCTGGGTTTTGATGAGAGGGTATTATTCCTGTGAGAAGGAATAATATCAAGGAGGTAATAGAGGAGGTATCTGAGCCTCTAGCTATCATCTTTGGAAAATCATGGGAGACAGGAGAGATTCTAGAGGACTGGAAAAGGGCAAATATAGTGCCCAGCTATAAAAAGGGAAATAAGAACAACCCAGGAAACTACAGACCAGTTAGTTTAACTTCTGTGCCAGGGAAGATAATGGAGCAAGTAATTAAGGAAATCATCTGTAAACACTTGGAAAGTGGCAAGGTGATAGGGAACAGCCAGCATGGATTTGTAAAGAACAAATCATGTCAAACCAATCTGATAGCTTTCTTTGATAGGATAACGAGTCTTGTGGATAAGGGAGAAGTGGTGGATGTGGGATACCTAGACTTTAGTAAGGCGTTTGATACGGTCTCGCATGATATTCTTATCAATAAACTAGGTAAAAACAATTTAGATGGGGCTACTATAAGGGGGGGGCATAACTTGCTGAATAACCGTACTCAGAGAGTAGTTATTAATGGTTCACAATCCTGCTGGAAAGGCATAACAAATGGGATCCCGCAGGGGTCTGTTTTGGGACTGGCTCTGTTCAATATCTTCATCAACGATTTAGATATTGGTATAGAAAGTACGCTTATTATGTTTGCAGATGATACCAAGCTGGGAGGGGTTGCAACTAATCTGGAGGATAGGGGCACAATTCAAAATGACCTGGACAAATTGGAGAAATGGTCTGAGATAAATAGAATGAAGTTTAATAAAGACAAATGCAAAGTGCTCCACTTAGGAAGGAACAATTAGTTTTACACATACAGAATGGGAAACAATGGTCTGGGAAGGAGTACGGCAGAAAGGGATCTAGGGGTTATAGTGGACCACTAGTTAAATATGAGCCAGCAGTGTGATGCTGTTGCAAAGAAAGCAAATATGATTCTGGGATGCATTAACAGCTGTTTTGTGAGCAAGACACGGGAAGTCATTCTTCTGCTCTACTCTGCGCTGGTTAGGCCTCAGTTGGAGTATTGTGTCCAGTTCTGGGCACTGCATTTCAAGAAAGATGTGGAAAAATTGGAGAGGGTCCAGAGAAGAGCAACGAGAAGGATTAAAGGTCTAGAGAACATGAGCTATGAGGGAAGGCTGAAGGAATTGGGTTTGTTTAGTTTAGAAAAGAGAAGATTGAGGGGGGACATGATAGCAGTTTTCAGATATCTAAAAGGGTGTCATGAGGAGGAGGGAGAAAACTTGTTCATCTTGGCCTCTGAGGGTAGAACAAGAAGCAATGAGCTTAAACTGCAGCAAGGGAGGTTTAGGTTGGACATTAGGAAAAAGTTCCTGTCAGGGTGGTCAAACACTGGAATAAATTGCCCAGGGAGGTTGTGGAATCCCCATCTCTGGAGATATTTAAGAATAGGTTAGATAGATGTCTATCAGGGATGGTCTAGACAGTATTTGGTCCTGACATGAGGGCAGGGGACTGGACTCGATGACCTCTCGAGGTCCCTTCCAGTTCTAGTATTCTATGATTCTATGAAAACAAGATAGGCATAGGACCATAGCAATCACAGTAGCAATGGAAAACACCTTTTTAACAACAACACAAGAGACCTGTGAGTCACCACTTTTAGCAGTATTCTTCAATACGCTAAAGGCACAATGAACAGAACAGGTAGGTTTTAAATCAGTAGATCACAGAATACCCCTAACACAGCCTGTTTATTGTGATGCTGACATTTCTGCTGTCTTAATACCCTGTTGGTGCCAATGGTGTGTTCTCTGGGGATGTGACAGAGTGCCTCACCCTTCACATGTCAAACTCTGAGTTTGTTGTTGGTTTTGTGCTCATTACAAAAACTGCGTTAACCAATTAAGCAGACTGGACTTTTGCACTACACTGTCTGCAAATAACAATCATATCAATTCATTTTTAAAAAAAGATGTTAGACCCAATTCTGTAGTCCTTATCCTGCTGCTTAAATTTGTCAAGACTTCTTCGAGAAAGTCAATGGGAGTTTTCATTTAGTAAGAATTGCAAGGAGTTGACCCATTGTTAAATAATTTAGGTCTGATGACGCCTTTAAAATTCTGGTGATGATTATCAATTGGAATTTAAATTTCTTTCACCGCTCTAATGTTGAGAAACTAAAGGACAAAAGGTAATCTAGATCCTCAGCTGGTATACACTTGTAAACTGAAGTCAATGGAGATACACTCATTTATACCTGCTGGCAAATTTCTGTTTGTATATGAATTAGCTATATATTTTGTTCCATGGCACAGCCAACCACCCAAGAGAGCTCAACATAACTAACAAAGCCTGTTGTCTGATTTGCCATTATCAATACGACGGTTTGTTATAGTGACAGGAAACAAAGTTAAAGGCAAAATGTAAAGTACCATGGCACAGAAATAGGTGTGTGGGAGGAGCAGGGATGAATGTTTGCAAAACTCAGAAAGACAAGCGGCAAAGATTCTAAGACTAAATAAGAGAAAGAAGATAAGGGAAAGAAAATTAGAAATCAATTTTAGAAAAGTATTTGACAGAATCTTTCCTAACTGTAGTGCTAAATTCATAGTTAGCAGAACATGGACTCAATTTATCTCTTGTGTAAATCCTATGATCTCAGTGGAGTTATGCTCTGATACTATGGTAATGAACATGGTATAATAACATATGCAGAACATAATATATCTAACACAATGGTTCTGAGGGAACAAGCAGGAAAACAAAACCATATCAAAGAGAGAATTCCTTTGTATCTACCCTTGAGTTGCCAAGGATTCAGGTATTTTGGGGTGAGCAAAATCTCTAATTCTCACTTTTGTCTCAGCAGCAGTTCCCTAGCTCAGTAGTGATCAGTCATCTCAAAACTTCTCCTTTCAGAAATTGACCATTTCCATGGTAACAACTGCCAGCAGCACTGGGAAATGTGATTTTGTTCGTATATCAATGGGACAACCTGGATATAGAGCGTTGGTTTCGTGTGAGTTCAATGCTCTTTTTAGATTAAACTGTTTATTTCTGAAAAAGAGAGGAAACAGGTGCAAGCAGAAGTCAGCCGCCAGTTGCTAGCTGATCCCTGGAGCAGGATTGGCAGCAACACGTGAGTGCTGTCAGAATGCCCACCTGCAATGCCAGGATATACTGCAGCTGCAAGCGAGTGGGAAGGACAAAGTATATTAACCAACAGCCCCCCAACTGTTTATCAGCCCCCTTTCTTCTTCTGCCTTTGGTGTACTCTGCAAACAGCAGCAGCATCCTAGTTAAACACCTCTACAAGATCAGTTTAGAGAAGGATTTTAAAAAATCCTGATTTCTCATTCAAAGACCACTGAACTGAAACTGAAGGGAACAGTAGTTTAATCACCAAAATATTCATGCTGCTGAAATAATCACTGGTGCCTTCATATTCAACAGTCTTAATGGCCATACAGCCAAAGTCCCACTGAAATCAGTTGCAAAACACCCACTGAATTCAGGATTTGGCCTGTAGAAAACATTTATACTGAATTTCTTGTCTAGCAACCAGTCATACCAGCAATGGAGTTTCACCTCCTGACAGACTTCCTACAGTTTTCTGGAAGTCTCTCAACATGGAGGCTCTTTGCAGGAAGCCCATCTGTTTTATCTGAAGTTACTCTGGCACCTTCATCCTCTTTGAAATGGATGATTTGCAGGCCAATCCAGCAGGCTGTGAACGGCTCATGTGAGATTCAGCCCCATTTCTCCTGCCGTGCAGCGGAATAATAGTATTTCCTTTCTCTCACAAGCACAGCGTCAGGTCAGAAA